CTGACAGGTGCAGAGGCTGGGAAAGTGGTGTCAGCTGAGTTGCCTGCTCAGAGAAGCTCCCAAACCTTGGTGCCTGCGCTGTTGTGGCTTTGCTTGGTGGGAGGAGTGGGTCTGAAGACCCTCCCAGGGGTTGCGCAAGCTGCTGTGCTACTCCTTGCTCCTGCTAGCCTGCAGGGAAGAGTGTAATTCAGGGTGACAAGCTGCTGTTCTTTCCTTTACACTAGCTGGCTTCTAATTTTCTGACTGGAAATGTCAGTAAAAGCAAGAAAAACACCAGGGCTCTTTTGTCACTAATGTGCTGATCTTCGTGTTGCTTTTCAGCATGAGAAAGGGAGGAAAAATAAAGAATTTTGTGTCTGTTGCGTTTACTTGCTTGGGGGGGGTTTCCATGTACTCTCTCCAACAAGCCTGGCCGCTTGTCTGGCCTTTCCCATTTAATGGAGGAGCTTGGGGAGAAATTAGGGAACCACTCCTAATAGCCAGTCTCGTTAAAAACATGGTAAAGGTTTCTCTACGCCATCCCGTGAATATAAAAAGCATTTAATAGATCTGATCCTCCTTCTTAGCCAAAGGGAGGATTCCCTTACCTTGTTGAAGTTCAGCAATAAATCAGTACGCCTGCTCCTTTCTAATAGGAAACCACTAGTAGAAAAATCTTTAATCAAAGTAGACTATGTTCATTCTGCCTTAGGTTAATTTGCTGGAGCTTAGGAAGACAGTGATAAACTCCTGGAAAACATTTCAGCTGGCTCAAGAGGTGAGCTGGAAAGCTTGGGAGAGCTTTTTGATGTGCTGGAGCTCTGCATGTCTGACTTCTGGCAGGGCTGACTGGCGCAGTTTTCTGTGTAGGTTTTGGGTTGTTTGAATTAGGTGTGTAATGAAGCACTTTGTAAGTTGTATCCCTCTAGGGGAGGCTTGAGCTTGGAAAACATCAGGTGGAAAGTTTGGGTTTACGTCTAAGGTGCTTGTTTGGGCTTACTTTTACCTTAGGGAGAAGTTACGAAACTAATTAACTTAATGGGTTGGAAGAGCATTTAGGTGTCTGGCACAGAGAGGTAGAGAAAGTAAACATCCTTCTAAGCATCATAGAATGGCCGAGGCAGGAAGGGACCTTAGAGATCATTTAATCCAACCTCCCTGTCGTGGGCAGGGACGCCTCTCAACTAGATCACGCAACACATGGGGACCGAACGGGGATCGAACCTGCGACCTTGGTGTTATCACCACCAGGCTCTCTCTTCTCATCCTTTTGGGGATGTGTGCACTATGGCTTCCCTTCCTAAAAGTACAAATCTCTGCAAAGCAGAGCGACCTCATCTCGTTCCAGGCCTTAGCATCGTTAGTATCGATCCGTGGAGATCCATCTTGGTTCGCTAATGGGCGTCAAGTGGAAAAGTTAATACATTTCTGCTGCATTTGAATTCCTCTCTCACTTGATTCCTTTGGACCAGCTCCAGGATCTTGTTAGGAACAGAAGAAACTCATCATCTTAAAGGGTGGGAGGAGAGCCTGGCCATCGAGGCACAAGACTTGGGTCTCTCCACCAGAGAGGAGGGGGAAGGTTGCAAGAGTTGCTCGGTGGGTTTAGTTGTTTAAGACACCTTGAGCACTGGAAAATAACCGCAGAAAGTGGACATCCAGAAAAATTCTGTCTGCTTCATTAGCAGATGTTGGGGAGCGTGTAGAAAAATGAGGTTTTTCCAGCAGCTAGTGATGCTTTTTATGTTTTTCAGCAACTGAGCTCCACCTTAACACAGCTTTCTCCTTGGAGCTGAAGACAAATGTAGGTTTCAGACCCAGCTGCTTCAGTGCTCAGTGATCTCGTCTCAGTCCTTGCTACGGTCTGAGGTGCTGATTGGTTCTGGTGCATTCTAATTGGCAGAAGACACCTGTTCCTTAATTGTCACCATCCCTTGTCTCTCTCTTTGTTTCAGCTCTTTGTGACGCATGAGCTATTGACACGGTTTGAAGGGAGGCTTCAGTTGAGCTCTGTGTGTGTATTGGGAGAGGAGGCTGAAAGAGATTAGTCACATACTCAAGAATAACTTCCAGTAAGAGTGTTGGTGTTTGCTCCAGGTCCTTGACCTATGTCACTCTTTAGCCTAAAATTCATTTAGTCCTTTGGGGTTTGTGCGCTATCCCAGGGTGGAGTGGAGGTCTGTAGAGGGCAGGAGAGTCGAGTTAAACTCCTGATTAGAAGAAGGGAGTAAGAGGGAGAAGAATTTTAAAAATAAGCAAACAAACAAACAACCCCAAACTTGTACCTGGCGGGTTTGCTTCTGTGTTAAAACTGGAAATGGTTTTAACTGTTAAGGCTGGTTTAGATCTTAGCCTTGCCAGTTATGCTTGTGTTGTATTCTGTGCGATTTCAGCGTTTCTCCCAAGCATCCTCAATTGCTTCACAGATCTGAATTCTGGGCATGCTTTCTGTCTTTTTTTTTTTTTTTCCAAGCAGAAGAAACAAGAGGTGGTGTAAGTGATGGCCTCAGATTAGAATACATCTTCACCGAGCGACGTGTGAAACCAAAGGTTCTCTCCTCTGGTCCCCTTCTGGGTTTACTTTGGTCGCCTGAGAATACTTGTGATGCGAGGCGTTTCCAATTTGCCTTGCAGATATTCTGAAGCTGTCTCAAGAAAGGTTTCTTGGGGTTGTGCTAGTCTTAAAATAACTTGGATTCTGTTCTGTCGCTGACTCTGTTGGGGTCGACAGAGACCTTGAGGCTCCACAGCCTGCCCTTTCGAGTCCCGGTTCGTCCCTTCTGGTGACACCTTTATTCGAACCACTTTAAGAAGTCATGGAAAAGAGCAGTGTGTAAATATTAATGTTGAATATTTGTCTTTAAAAATCCCTTTGGGATGCTCAACAAATCTGTTCCGTGGCTTTCGAGATAGTGCTTGCTTATGGTTTTTGGACCTGTTCGTGCATCGCCAGCCCATGCCGTCCCACAGGTGACAGGCAGGGCTCTTCTGTAACAGCCTTTTTGCTCCCTGTCACAAGGAGCTCCTCTCAGTTCACCTTCAGATCTCAAGCTCTGTTGTCTTCCTGTCGTGAAGCCTTTTCTGTCCAGAGCAGCAAGGACTCCTCTGGGCCTGGGCTGGCAGCGTGCCCTAGGAGAGTGCTAGAAGAATGGGAAATTGTGTAATCCTAATTTCCACTTGGGATGTATTTTGCAACCCAGCTCAAAGAGCTGTGACAGGCTGGTACTGCAGCACACCCCAGTTTAATTTGCTAAGAAACACTGTTCTCCATGCACATCTAAGAGGGCAGTGAAGAAAGATCTGTCATTGTCTACTTCGTTGACAGTACCTTTAATTTCCACACTGAAGTTCATTCTTACAAGTATCTCTTCGATTATGTGTTTTTCCTCGCTTTGCACAGGTTTTCAGCTTCCAAGTCAACAGTTTAACTGTTACTTCCTGTTGTAAAACCAGCAACTTAAAGCGTTGGGGAAGAAAGTGTTCCAGGCAGACCTGGCTCCATTGCTGTTGAGCCTGGGACACCCCGAAGCCACCCCATGGATGTTAATATGAACAGACTGGTCACGGCTATTGCTATTCAGACCTCAACTGAGCATGCATCTGGACAAAGAGGCCACAGTTTAATATTTAATGTTCCATAAGGCTGCACATTTTACTGAAATGTGTCAGTAAAGGAGTGTGGTAGCAGTGATAGCGAGCAGCTGAGAGCCAGGAGGATCCTGTGCTCCACTTCAGCCCGAGGCGTGTTCTCTGATACCGAGCAGCTTGCTTGACCCACTGTGTCTCAGCCAACCTAGCTGTAAAATTGAGCAGCAAAGAAAGCTCCATGACAAACAGGCGTGTCTGGAGGTGAACTTTCAAGGCCGGCTTTTCTTTACTGATAAATTCGTCTTAGGAGCAGAATTTCTGTGTTTTGGGGTTTTTTTGTTTTTAACCTAATGTGTGTTTTTATTGTCCTTCCAGGCAGCATTCACTCTCCTCCTGGGTCCTTTCACCTTCTTCAATGTGCAGAAGACCAAGTATCTTCAAATCATGACGTCCCTCATGAGATGGATAGGTGAGTCTATGCAGAGCCTTGGTCACCTCTGTGCCATAGGCGGAACCTGAGTCGCGCTGCTGATGTATCACTTTGGCAAGATACCCTTGTTGAGAAGCAAGTGCTTGTCCAAACAACCTCTTTGAGGAGGATTGTCCAGGTCTGATAAATCTTTGAGGAAAAGGATTTTTGTTCTGGGATGAAATTTCTGATTAAAACAAAACAAATTGTTCTCAAGCAGACATGACCTGTCGTTGATGAAGTTTTAATCTGGTTTATGTGAGAGCCAGAAGGGATTTGGAAGAGTCTTCTGTGTGGGGCCTAACCCTGATACCCACCAGCTGCTGTTCAGCAGTTGCAGGAAGTTTCTCATTCTCTCAGCACGTGTACAAGAGACTTTGAATAATCTTTGTTTTGATCTGAGAACAAAAGGCACTTCTGTCAGACTCTCTACTCTTAGTTTTATCATCTGTTTGCATTTTTTTTTCCCCGCACCTTGCTTTAGCGTAAGATGTGCTGCATTGGAAACCCCCAAACCGATGGGTGTTTTCCTTGGGAAGCTCCACTCTTGTGAGTTCTCTCCAAAATCTTATTGCCAAGAACTTATGGAAAGACACATAATTGCCTTAAGGGAAGTAAGAGGTTGCTACTTCTCCCTCCCCTCCCCTTTGTTATCCAAAGATGCAGCTGACACAACTGGCTTGTAGCTGTACATGCCCTTAAAGGCTGAGGGCTGTGTGTGTTATGGAGGCTTACGCTGAGGATTGTCTTGCTTTGTGTAACCTAGGCAGAGTAACTGATATTCAGGGCTAAGAGAGAGGGTGTTACAGCACCAGCAGCATTTCTGCAGGTTAACAGTCTCCTGGTTCATGGGTCCAAACCATTCAAGCACAGAATGATCTCTGTTTATACCTATCACTGACCTGGAATAGGAAGAAAAGCTGCTTCTCAGACTATTTCCTATCACACAAGTACGCTTGACCTGACTTCAGTTGGGTGTCGTCCCTTTTCTATGAGTTCAAAGGCCTGTGATCCTGTTTGGAAGTGCCTGACAGTCACTGCAGAGGAATAGAGATCCTCTGCTCTAGAGAACATCTGAGATGGGGTTAAGCAGTTGTCACCCAGGAAAATGAGGTTGGATTTTTAAGCCCTCAAGTCTGAGATGCTGAAGAGCTTGAGTTAACAAATCCTGGCTTTGGATGGTGTGGAAATCCTGAATGTCTGTTTTTTCCTTTTGTTGTCTGAGCACATGAAAGGTTTGAGAGCATCCATCTTCTTCAGAGAAAGAGATCATCTCATTAAGGAATATTAAAAAAAGTTTTGTTTTTTAAAGAAAAAAGAAAGAAAACTTAAAAAAAGAAAAAGAGTAATCTCTGCTCAGCTCACTGGCCTGTGTTTCCAATCATCCTGCCTCCTCTTTCCTGGTAAAGACATCAGTCAGACCTCATCCTGTCTCTGTGACAACCTGACACCTGCCTGATCTGCCTTTCATTTCCCTTTAGCCGGCTCCTTCCAGTATGAGGATTGCTAAACCTTGGCATAAAAGCAGAGCTCTTTCTCTCTTTTTCATCGCTTGATGGAGAGGGACAAAGGCAGTGTTTGGAGAAGTGTAGGGGAAATTCGTGCTTTAGCCTGATTGATTCCCACGTCAGCGCGCTGGGGAACAGCTGCCCCAGATAATGATATTTAATGACCCTGACAGCACCTCAGTGGCTACTTAGAGCAACGGATTCCGTATGTGTACAATGAGGGATAGATTTATTAGGAAAGACAATTTATCAAACAGCCATGTGATGCAGGGAACGGAGAAAAGCTCTTGCTGCAGATTCTGGGATAAGGATGGATCCTCTACTGCTGACATTTATCAAGCTGGCTTCTCCCATGTCCTCACATCACTTCTGTCCCCTCCTCCAAAAGCAGGGCTGTGAGTTAAACCTAGTTTGGTCTTTTATCGGTCCTTAGAGAGCTTAGATCCCAAAAATTGGTCCTGGCTGGTGTTTTGTGATCTCTTGAACTTCTCCTGCCTGAAGGCCAGTGGCCAGATGTGGACTCTCTGTCCTATAATCTGTGCCTTCATCTTACTGTAGCTGGGTTTAACCCTGTGGTGCTGAAGGTGGTTCTCCTTCTGCAAAGCACTTTGAGCAGCAGAGCAGAGCTCCAGCCTACCTGTTTGTTTGTGCTGGGTGAAACCTTCCCACAGGGACAGGGCTTTGTTCAGTTTACCTGTGCCTGCTGTCCTGGTGTGGGTGGGAAGCTGACCCGTGCTTTGCATCATGATTTGAAAAAAAAATCAGGCTGTGAGGTCAGTAGAGGCTTCACAACGTGCCTTCCGCTATACCCACCGCTCAGCCTTTTCTTCAGCCTGGTGGAAAGCCCCTGGATTTTGGAGCAGCAGTGGCTGATGTGAAGCTGCACTGCCCCAGGTGTACTGGCGATTCAGATGACAGTGGCTGAGAGGATAGTTCTTGGCAGCAAGGGAGAGCTAGCTGTGTGTGAAGGTCATTTCTGCTGGTGTGTGTAGCAGTGTCAGCCTTGCCTCTGAAAGTTGCTTTCCCCCTTTCTCCTGATCTAAGTGATAAGCAAATGTCACTAACCTCTTTCCAGAGCCTCGTGCTCGCTGCAAGCAGCACACAACTAACAAAACCTGCAGCGGTCTCTTTTCACACCTCATGGACAAGAAAAATGTCATTCTGTCTCTGAAACATTCAGTCTTAAGCAGTGGGATGTGCACTGAAAAATAAAAATGGGAAAGTTCAAAGAACATGGAGCTGCAGCAGGGATCAGCCCTCCATCTGGCTGTGTTTTTCCTCCCATGTTAAGGGACTAGCCACGACAGGCACCTCCAAAGTCTCTAGAAGGCAAAGGCTGAGTAGGAGTTTGCAAGCCCAAGTGCCGTCCTGCTAGAGAGCCCAGACAGATGGACTTTCGTCTGGGCCCGCTGAACACAGAGAGCTCATCTGGAAACAAGGCTGGCATGGCGAGGCGTTTCCCTGTCAGGAGCGATTGGAGCTCAGAGGGTGGATCTGCTGCTCCAGGTGGAGTGGGGCTGATGGCAGAGAGGGCTTCCAGAGGCATCGAACTGTTGGCAGTCTTCTTAGAGTAACAGCTTACACACTTGGCTGCAAAACTGAGTGCCACCTCGCCTGGGTGCGTGCCAATGGTTAAATCCAATGCGGCCATCGGTTTGAGCTGTCTGTGCTGAGTGATACCTGTTCTCTCCAAGCTGGTTGGTGTGTAAGAGTTTCCCTTTTCCAGCTGTAGAAGCTCCCAGGCTGCTTTGTCAGCCCTCTCCTGCTCTGCCTGAGCTGCCATGGGGGACTGAGCAGAGGCACTCTCGGGGGGTGGCAGGGAGCCCGTCCACTGTGCCTCCTTGGAGAATGGGCTAGCTGGGAAAAATCATGTCTTTTCAATCCTGGTAGTGGTGCTTACAGTGAAGCCTTGATTTGAGTGAGAGATGTAACCTTGTTGGCTCACCCAGTTCTTGAGCAATGTTATTAAGAGCAAAGGCAGGGTCCAGACTGATTGACCAGGTAAGTACGAATTCACCCCTTGGGGTGAGAAGGGTTCCTTCCCCAGACTGTAATTCCTTTCTTTCACCTCCTTTCCACCTCAGCCTCGCAGAAGTGTAGACCTGTTATTAGCCCAAGTCCTTCAGCAGTTTTGGAGACTGTTTCCATTCCTCTTAGAAGGTTCTTGGAACAGGATGTCTCGTGCAGAAGGCTAAACCAACTAAACCATCAATAAATTAGATCTGTTGGTATTTTCAATTCTGCTGCTTAGACTTTAGGCTCTTTTACCTAGAGGATTTAAATCTGTGGTGGTGATGGATTGCTCCCTAAAGAGACTTCACTATCTGTCTGGGTATTTTCCCCCTCCTCTTTCTCCAATCCTGATCAGATGGGTGGTGTTGGAGTGACCTGCTGGAGGGCACGGTACAGCGAAAGGGACTGAGCCAGGCAAGTGTGATGCTCTTCTCAAAGCAAAGGGGACACAGCTCTCTGGGGCATAGCCCTGCCTCTTTATTATTGGATAATATTGGATAATAACTGTCTAGCAGCGTCATGGGAAAGGATGTGGATTAGGAAAGATAACAAAAGGACAGGGCTTGGTAGAGCTCAACAGCAAACATTGGGCTATTGTGCATTAAGCAGCTAACCCGATTAATTGCAGCCTGTTCCAGCCTGAGATGCCCATCTCGATAGGTGAGGACTGTTGGCTTTAAAGACACTGGTAGCATGATTATTGCTGCTGTTATTGAATAGTCTCTGACTAATGTTCCCAGACAGCTCCCACGTGGGACATTTGCTCTATGTGCTGCTCTCAATGCTGTGTTGTAGTTATTAGAAAGTATCGTATTTTAATAAAGAGACGTTTTATAGAGGAATAAACTTCAGGGTTTGGTTGCTGCAGGCTCAGTTCTCTCCCTGTGGCACAGTCAGATCACACCACATCTATCCAAGTAACTGCAGCCCTTGAGACAGAGCATTCCCAGCCCTGCCCAAACTATGATCTCAGAAATAAAATCTCTCTCCAGCTCTTTCCCCTGGCCAGTAAGATGAAGGGGAAAAAGGACAAGAATAGCCAGAGTCTCTGCATTAAGCTCTTTGTTTCTCCATCCTTTCCCTTACCAGGATACTTGGCAGAAGACTTCTAGGGAAGAAACTAGGAAAGGGCTCTCCAAAGCGCGCTGGTGAGGCTCTACTAACATCTTTGATAGTTCTGCTCTCTTCAGAATCCTGCTCTTTACAGGACTCCCCAGCACTTCTCGGCAGAGAACCAGTCTCACTTAGCAGGCTTAACCAGCCGCCGTGGAGTTGATTCAGTGCAGAAGTGTGGAGTCGCTCTGCTACGTCCTTTCAGCTGCAGAGACTGAGAATTAGAGAGGTGGCTGATACAGGAGGAGGTGGCAATTATCGGAAGCCCTGTGTTTCTAGTCTCCTGCAGAGAGATTAGTCTGCCAGTGTCCACAGTCCTCACGGTGGCCTCTTTTTCCACACCAGAAATTGAGCTTTCTGCAAAGA